TAATAAGCTGAGTGAGAAAAGTTAGCTGATGGTTGTATGTCTGGCCTTGTTAAATCAAGTTCTCTGTTGATGTAATTGTTTGATGTAAATGAGTGCATCTACACCAGTTTTGGCTTGCAAAAACATTAACTTGTTGGTTTTATACAAGTTGTAGACGTACTGCAAGTGATACCACAAATTAGGCCAAATAAAAATAATGAGCCACTTAAATGTTGTGTTACTATATACGAAAGAAGGTTTAGAAAAGAAGGTCCTCTACTTGTCCTGTTCTCAAAGCTCTGTGAACACTGACAGTAATTTAATATAACCAGAACCCACCCACAGTTTGACTTCTATGTTTTGACAGACAATTTGCCAGTTCCTCAGTTGCTCTAAATCCGCAGTTTCTTTTCAGTCACTGGAGATACATCAATTTATTCCACTTATGGACCTAATCCAACACCTTCAAATAGTTACAGAAGATTTCTGCTTATTTTGTCCTGGTTTACAGTAGCTGCTCCATATGTTTTCTCAGATAAGAGTAGGAGATATGACATCATTTTCTCATCAATTACTGTTACAACTACCATAAGTGGCAGAAAATATGCCATGCAAGACTGATCCTGAAATAAGCACCTCAAATGAGTAAATGGCACTGACTTTTAAGGAAAATTCTTTTGAGGTTAAGTGTACGGGATTATTGCTGACGTGTGTACAGGATTATTGCTGAAGTTTGTACAGGTATGAAGTAAATCTATTTCATTTAAACAGTAAAATTTATGAATAGGATTAATTGAAATTCACCATTTGAGTATGAGAAAAGCTTTAACATTCACATCCAAACATCGATGACACCCCCATGTTTCCTGAAGGTCCAAATCTTTCTAGGGGCTTCAAGGGAAATAAGTGAGCTTAGCAACCTAAAGAACTTATGAAAGCCTCATATTTGGCCTAGAAGAATCAAAATGTAGTAATGGGGCACATTTTTCCACTTCTTAGCTTTTCATTGCAGTATCTTTCTTCTGTACCAGTTGTATAATTGAGTTTCCCTATTTTGGAATGGGTTCACTTGACCCCAGAATAACCTAAAATATTACTAAAATTATTTTCACCGTTTTCTAAGGAAAAATGATTTCCTTTACTCCTAGTGTCAGCAAAATAATAAAATATTGTTGCTTTGCTGATAGCACACCAGAAAAATAAAAAAAAAACCCTAAATAGACTATTTGCAATGCCAAAACCCGAGTCAAAGAGAAAATAAAATTAACTTTTTAATTTTGTTTAAAACAGCGATATTAAATGATCTGCAAAGTCAAACACTTTAAAATCTCCTTATTTTAAACTAGATAACATTTGACAGCATTGAAGCTTCCACACAGCTAAACAAAAGCTTTCTGAGGGAAGTTTCAGAAGGCATTTCTTATGCTTTGCCCATATTCTAAGCGCCCTCTACTGCCAAAGAAGCTGTACTACAGGGAGAATGAGCACTTGGATGCAAGCAGCAAGTAGTAGAAACCCACCCATATTGATTGATTGATTGATAGCTTGGCTTCGCGAGCGAAGATTTGGGAAGGGCTTTAACCACACTTACTACAAGCACAATGACCGAGGGCATGTGGGATATGCAAATCTGGTTGGAAAAAAGGGTGCTTAGGCAATCAGGAAGTGTCCTACCATGACTGTCATCTCCTGAGCGATCTCAAGCTACCCATGCCCTGATCCACCCGCATGCAAGGCTGGATCTGCAGCTTACCATGCACCTTGTCACCTACTGTTTCGTCCCTGGCCTGTCGCTACAGACAGTGAGAGTGAGCCCTTCCAGCCTGCGCAGTGGATTTTTTAGGTGAGGCGCAGTGTGCACAGAACTGGCCCCACCCTTTACACCTGAGGTTTAATTGCCACGGCCTGGCTAGCTAGGACGGTGACAGCAAAGTCCACAGGTCGAAGGCTTTACAAGAGTGTCCTTCTCTTAGATGGAAGACCTTACAAGGCTAGACGAGCTCCATCAGCCCGGGTTTGAAGATAGGAGTTTTCCTTCTCCTATGAGGAAGGACTGTCTTCACTAACAAAGATTCAGGAAGAGCTTTACCCACAATTTGACACTTTCTGCTATTGCTTTTCAGGCTATATGTAGTTGGACTTGAAAGATACCAGCAACAGAATGTTGGGTTGCTTTTTTTTTTCAGAAGAAGAAAAAGTAATTCCAGTGGTGAACAGAAACATGCAATCCTTCATTTCTGCTGACAATGTGGGCTCTTCCTTTCTGCAGTTTGCTGTGCTCCATTGGCTTTTTACCTATCTATAATGTCTATTTTGGCATTTGAAAGACATATTTCTCAAGAGCAGCTGTGATCCTGCCTAACGTGTAGTCAAGTTTTACACATGTGCCCAAACATAGAGGGCACAAGTGTAAAACTTGAGGGATGCCTTCTCCCCATCAGGCAGAAGATGGAGAGAAGGCATCCCTCCCTGGGGAGCTGACAGGGTGTAATGGCTAGAGAAGATAGGGAGATGTAATCAACACTGCGTGCACTCCTACCACAGAATAAATTCCTTCTGGGCACAGGAAGGTTTCTGAGTCAGGACTTGCTCCCATGGGAAGGACCGCTCCTCCTTCTGTGTTAGAGCTGCTTGCCACATGCAGCCCAGCCCTCAGTGAACTGCTGTGCATTCCTTATGTGCCTTTTGCTCTGCATTTCTCAGCAGGATAATTTTCATTTTTAACAAGCTGTTATTGTTCAACCAGAACCAAGTTACTTAGGAGTTTCTGGGGTTTATTTTCCATGCAAAGTGGTCAGACTGAGAAAATGCAGGTCTGCAATATGTGGAGCTTCAGATTTGATTGCGAAAAGTTCTTAAAACACTGGTAAAAAAAAAAAAAAAACAAAAAAAACCATTAGCCTTTTATAGGCTAAAAGAAATGCATTTTAATGTATTCTAGTCAGTGCATTTAACAAGTTGTACCGTACATAGTAGAAGAAGAAGTTGCGCGTGTATTAGTGCATACTAATGCACTAATGTTTTTATTGTTTGTTTGTGGTGGTGGACATTCCAGTCACTCTGGACAAGCTGTGAACAAACATAAATCATAACACCTGAAGTCCCTGATCAGATTAACTCTTCATCCTCCAACATGTCCTCCAGCAGTGCAGTGATATGTCCTGACAGGTTCCCAGCTCCATCTGAGGTCAGTCTGAGGATGGGTACAGTGATGGCATCTAAATGACACAGGAATCCTGGAAAAGTGGGGATTGTGGCTATTTCTTATTGGCACAGAGGGCCCATTGGTTACCGAGGTGACCAGCAATGACGTCCAGCCCTGTCTCTGGGACTGTGGAAGCTGTTGGGTGTTTCCAGTCTCATGTATTTACAGGCATCGGCCAGGGCTTCATTATAAAGAGGTATCTGAGAAATTATATTCTTGTTAATTTTTTCCTCTTTTTTGATTTACAACATGACATTCCAAAGACCTACATGACCTGATGGTGATACTGAAAAACTATAAAAACAGAAGATCAGCAATATTCTTTGCCCTTCCTCATGAACATACAGGATTAGCTTCTACAGCATATTCTGAAGTGCTGCGTCCAACCTGGTTTAGACAAGGCAAACTACAAGGATAAGTTTACTATCTTTGGGAAAGGCTTTGAAATTAGTTTCTCTTTCAAAAGTATGGGATGGTACTCTTTAATGATTTTTGTAGAACTTAGCATAATTCTGGAAAAAAAATAAATTAAATTAACTCTATAGTTTCATTAAATTGTAAAGTCAAGAGTCAGTTCTTGGGCTTGTCACCTAAGATTCCTCAATAAGCAGTTCATGTTGAAAATGAACAAACTTGTGCAGTGAATACAAGGAGGCAGGTGTTCCCAACTATCTTTTCTTCTAGAAATATTCCCATGTTTTACCATGCAATTAAAATTATACCAGCCATATGAGACTGCTGAATTATTTTACACAATATATATAAACATATATGGTGCTTCTGTGCATTTAAGAGTTACAGGGCAACCTGTTCTTGAAAGTAAAGCACTTCATTTCAGTACCAGTAATTTTGAGCATGATAATGTTCCTTCAAGCTTCAAGAGCAGGACATCATCCCATGAGGAGCAACTCCATCTGCCCAGCAGATTTTATGATTTGAATCTCCATGTTCATTTTATCTTTTGTTTTCTGGTGAGAGTGGCAACAAAGATGTTGATCATTTCCTACTTCTAGTGATGGATTTTGTTCCGAATGCAATATTTTGAGGTGACAAATTTTATGATAGGTAGAAAAACAGACACTAAAGAGCTCTTCAATGTAGTGTAGACAGACTGAACAAGAAGCTACAACTGCAAGTAAACAAATTCAACTGAGCAAGAATCTACATATAAAACAAAACCATAGCTGTCCTCCAAGCTATACCGGCTCCTAGTATCTTTAGATCAAAACCAGATACTTTCAAGGAAGTGACACACTAGTCAAGCAGAAAGTATTTGTTTTACTGTGGAAGTAACTGTGGAATTTACTGGCTTCTGATGCATTTGTAATACGTTGGGTTATACTGACCTATGGCAAAAAGTCAGAGCTAGAGATATACAGTAGACCCCTCTAACACAGCTCTACGAACCCATCAGCTGCACACAGAGATGCATCAGATATTAATGACATTGGCTTCTCACAACGTGTCAGATTTGAATAAGGGACTAGATGTGAAAAGTACACATAATGAAAAAAATAAGAAAAAAAGAAAAACTGCAAGCATAGTTGTTTGCTCCATCTTGAACTCTGGTAGTTTAACTGGGCCAAACAGGAGTGGTGGAGTTTGATTTGCCGAGCTTGGTACAGCTTCTGACTTACAGCATCTCTTGCCAAACCACCATAGGTGACTGAAGAAATCCAGGACTGGGCAAACCAGTCAGCAGCAGGCTGAGGCCACTGCTAAAAAGCAGAATGAAAACACACAGCAAGAGCTAGCAGTAGGAGTGGGAAACAGTAAAACACTGACACCCCTGAGCCATTATCTCAAAGTTTCTCACCTGCTCAGGTCAAGCATTCACACCAAAAGATTCAAAAAATAAAGATAGATGGTCAGAGATTCCTTCTCATCACTTCCCTTTCCCCTGCCTGTCCTGAGACCCTCATGTGACAGTTACCACCTTTCCAATACCCTAGAAAAAAAAAGGACACAGTTCACATGTTTATGGTTTGTTTTCTCAAGGAAGACCACGAAGTTTTGTAAGCTCCAGCTGTTTGAATCCAAAAGACCATGCACCCTACTCTTCCATGCCAGCCACCTGCACTTCTCATAGACATGGTCAGACAGGTAAAGAGTGGCCCTGTTCCCCATTCCTGGCCATGGACGTCACTTTGCTTTGCCTTCTATTTCAGCTTACATGCACTGCTCTCCTGCTTGGTCTTCCTCATACACACACACACATTTTATCTGTATGTATATGCTTATGTTACAGTGTCATATGGTAAGTCATATGCATTCCAGTAATACTCATTACTGCAAATAGTTTTGCACTACATAAATATTCTGTACATGCAAATACATAGCCAGCATTAATATTCCCTCACACCCTTCTCCATCCTGCTTTTCATTAACTTACTATCATGCTATTACTCAAAGGAAACAAGGGCCATAGCTTGGTTTGCTTAGCACAGAGATGCACAATTAAATGCATAAGGACTCAGAATATTACCCATGGTTTCTACACAAAAACTGTAGGACTTCAACCTTAAGAGGTGAACCTTCAGGCTACTAAGAAAATCTCAGCAAAGAATAACAAATGAAGCAATTGTATTTAAAAGATTCACTACTTCTGCTGTATTACAAACCTCAAAGTCCTCTCCATGTCAGGTTATTAAAAAGTATTTAATAAGGAATCAGACCATATAGAAGCTTCTTCTCAGCCTGATTGCAGAAGATTTCAATAACTCCTAGCTTAGATTTCAATAAGTGCTAATAGAGCTTGACATTACCATGATGAAAAATCGTACACAAAAATACTACAAGCTATAGTCCTGCTTATATCAAGCAGTAATGGGGTGAAACTCCTCTCACTTTGAAGAACTAAACAAGAGAATTTAATGAATGCTGATCAACTGCAGTTAATGGCAAAAAGATCTTATAAAACTACCTGATGAAAATAAAAATTTGCTTCATAAATGCAGTACTGTTGATTTAATAAGATCCCTGAAGCATTTGATGTGCTTTTTTGAAGATCTGAATTGCGCATCTAGAATTGTATGACATAACTGGTTTACATTCTATGCAAGTTCACCACCAGTTGAAGACTCTTGAAGTCTGCTTGTAGGTGGGAAACTATCACTGCACAGGTATCTTTCTAATAGGTTCTCAATGGATTTTTTCTCCCCATTTTCATATTTTTATTAATAACCCATAGAAAGCATCTAATCACATCACTTCTGATAAAGTTTTCATATAAAAGAAAGACTGAGAAGTGATGGATAAAAAGAGATTACTCATATAAAAGGATCTGCACTGTACAGAGAGCTAGCACAGTCAAATAGGTTCTTCAATGTCAACAATGAAAGGCTGTGCATCCATAAAAAAAATACATCATATTTAGAAGAAGGGATTTCTGGGTAGTAAGATTTTCAGTTACTATTTCCAAAAAAAGAAAAATATTCATGGCAAACAGCAGAATATGTGTTCTTTCTGAGTAGCCACTGTGGCTGCTATGAGTAGAGTTATGATTTAGTGAACTGAAAAGGAAAATATTTTAAGGTTATATTGCCTTGATACTGGAGCATCTGCTGTTTGTATCTAACACTGCTGTCCACATTTTAAGGAAGCTTTTTAAAGAATCAGAGGGGGTTCAGAAAAGAGGTAGAAATAAAAATGGAAAGCTGCAAAACACGAATGCAAAGATTAAATACACTGCTGGTAGAGTTAGATTATTAACTTGAGCAGTTCACACTTGAGTCCACAGTCTTGATCATCCATGCCATATTTTTATTGACTCAGTCTCTGTGTCTTGTTTGGGATAAATCTACTACTTAGTCTAACAAAGGGTAGCTTAGAAGATCTGATGTTCTTGAGCTTCACCAATATTGACTGTATTATTGCGATTTGTCTCCCCTTTATACTCCTGCAGCAAAGCCAGCAAAAGAGTAAGCCCAAGACATAGATGCAGAAAAATAAGTTGTAAAATGGCACCCTGGCAAGTAAATCTCCATAATTAGAGCCTGGAAATTGCTGTATTTGATGCTCATGTTCAGGAACAAACAGCATAGATACTTCCCCTTTGCCTTCAGAAGCACATCTTTACTCAAGGTCTGTCCCTGCACAAACATCCCTGGTGTGAGAAAGGCCAGCTGGAGAACTGGCCAACTTGCGTTTGCCTCTGCCACAATGAAGTATAGAGTTAAGTGATGAGTCAGAGACAAAGAAGGGACTATAGTACAGAACCACTAACTTGGCTTGAGCTACTTGCTCAAATCTGAACCTGGGCATTGCTACCAAGGCAGCAGAGGTAGGACTTTGAAGTTATCAGAGAGAAGGTCAAAAGAGCAGATTTTCTCAAATCTGTAGTTATCTACATGGGGAAGAGTACTTTGAAAAATGCACAGTTCTTCAGTCTAGCAGAATGGTATGATAAGATCCAACACCTGGAAACTGAAGTGAGAACAATTAAGACTTAGACACAAGGCTTGTATTTTTAACAATGGGAGTAATTAGGCATTGTGAACTAGCGCTGTGGATTGCAATGGACTTTTCATCACCAGAAAATGTTAAGATCGAGTATTTCTCTAAAAGATATATTCAGTTCAACCACAGCTGTAAGAGTAGAGCAGAAATTAATTCAGGGAAGTTCTCTCGCTTATTTTATGAGGAAAAGGAGGAGATTAGAATAGATAATTAAGTACTTCTTTTGGCCTTAAAATCCACATAAATGTGAGTTTGAAAAGAAAAGAGAAAATGCAAAAGATTTCTGGAAAAGATAGTTCTATTAAGTAGATGCAGTAAGAAATTTTATTCTGTGTACGCACTTGTCTCTTTTGTGCAGCTAGGACTGTAGCCATTACATCTGAGCAGACTTGCATCAGAAAGTGACCAGATTTGTTCAGGAGCTGGAAGACTGTACCCCCAGATGAGCTTCTACAGTAGATCTACTGCACTTCCCTAAATAACTGCACAAAGTTTGAAACACGAAAAAACTGTCTGTTGCCTCCAGGGTCAGAAACAGGACCAGAATAACCGAGAATGAAAACTGAAGGCTTAGGTAGACTGGAGAGAACTAAGCATCTATATAGACTTGTAAGTTATATGATGGTGCCACACTTCAAAGCAATAACTTAACCCATGACTCTGACAAGTCTGTCTGCTCAATTCTCTGCCTGCTCAAGCACTGAAATGCCAGTTCAGCAGATGACCTGAACCATCCATTCCTCTTCTCTGATGACCAAAATCTAATGATATTTCCAGAAATGTCGTATTCTTTGCATCATTTTTCGTTTTTGCACACGTCTTTCAAATTTCTCAGACACCTGGAACTCTAGACCAAGGACCAAATCCTTCATCTCCCACAACAGCAATAAACTATCAGAATTTAGGATTAGAAATAGGTTGCAGCTGCCATGTATAATGCCACATGTAATGCAGAATGGAAAAAGTTAGCCTTTATTGTGTCCCTAAGAGATGAAAAATTAACCCTTCACTTGTATTTTAATAGTTACCTCTTGTTTGAAACATTTTTTTCTTCCAGTTATTTCCAGGAAGAAAATCTCAGAACTAGAGCCTACTCATGCCTCCTACCAGTTTAAAGTCTAAACTTTTAGGGGTAGTTTTAGGACTTTTGAAAAAGAAAAGTTCATATTCCCTGAACCTGTGCACTGCCTAACAATGCCCATAATCTTTTGCTCCTCATTTCATCAATTTCTACATTTACTATAATTTTGTCACATATTAGAGATAGCTAACATTTTTTGCATGATTACCAGACCCTCTCTAATGCCAGAATGAAGGCGGGTGTATAAAGATTTCAAAGATTAGGATCACTGCATGGCTAGCACAGGTCCTATTTATTTCAAAGATATCATAGCAGCTGAGATCAGATGAGGTATTTGGGCCAGTAGGTCACAGTTTCACTGGGAGAGACAATGGTGTTTTCTGTGAGGGATCCTAATCCCAAGTAAACTAGGCAATATATCATGTTGTAAATTCTCCCAAGCTTCTCTCATGGGAGATAGAGACGACCATCAGACATCTCAGTTCTACCAGAGCTGGCTTTTAAAAACAGCAACATTAAGTTGTACTGCAACTGCAAAAGTGTATGCAGACAAACTGAAGTAATAATTTTCATGAGCACACTTGAACGTTGTTAACACCCCTGTTAAGCTTCAGATAACATTGTTTTTTGAAAATTATATATTAGCTATGTTCTTTCACATGTGAGACGACAAAAGGTGGGAAAACACATTACCCCACAACTCACATGAAATTTCCACTGAAACACTCACTGCATCTTCAGCAGCAGCATGGAGTAGGTGCTGTGCACAGCCTTCTCCAGGAAGCCCCCATTCTTCACAGCACTGCCTTTTGGCGTCTTACACCCCCATGCTGCCCTTTGTCTGGCCACAAGGAATGACCATTGACGACAATGGCTCCATTCTACAAGACAGGAACACCACTCATGCACTAAAATGGGAACTGTCTGTACAGCATCCTCTGTGGCAACTAAATGAATGTCAGCCTTGTCTTAGGCTCAATTTCTCAAATAATTTCTGCTTTATTTTAAATTGTACCTTAGCTACACATAGAACTATTTGAAACAAAACACTCTTCTGCTCCCAGTTTCAGACCCTCTTTCTAAAACCAAACAGTTGATGCCTCATACAGACTTGCCTGGCTCATGTGTCTATGTAAGCTTCCCACAGAAGTTTCCCAAGATGCAGTCATGAAGAGAGCAGATTCACTACTTGGTGCACTGTGAATATGTAAACCTTCCTGGCACATGTGCATTTCGTGTGTACCCTCTGCTCAAATTTCTGCTGTACGTAAAAATGTGACAAGAGCATTACCAAAAAGAAAAGCAGTCCCTGAGGTTATAACTGAGATTACAGGCTTGGGTTAGAGCATAGAGAGGATGTCATCTGAGAAAGAAAAACACTCTTTTTAAAAAATCACAACTTTCAAGAG